CCTCTGTGCAGGGCTGCTGCGGGCAGCCGATGTGGAAAATGTCCCCCTCACTCGTGTCGGCACACACATACCCAGCACTGCTGGGATGTGCAGACAGCTGGACCGCAGGCACTCTGACCTGTACTTGACCCCGTGCACGGAGGCCTCCCCACCTCTTCCTGCAGCCCCCTGAGGCCTGTGCCCTCGCACAGGTACAGGAACAGGAGGCTCAATGCATGTTTCCTGGCTGGACAGATGGGAGGGATGGCCCACTAGGGACAGGCCAGGTCCTGGCAGGCTTCTCTCTGCCTCGGGCTCTGCCTGACGGGTGGACGGCCCCTGTGGCTGAGAAGAGGTTTCTGACCAGGAGGCCCAGGACTGCTCGGTTAGAAGCCATGTGGGCTCTGAAGCCCTGGGTCCTCCAGGCCCGGCTGGTCTCCTGCTGCCTCTGCTTTCATTCCCAGGGGCAATACTCATGCCCCTCATGCGTTCCAAACCCTCTCTCCACTGTTCTGGCTGCGAGGGCTCCCCCTCACCCCGTTCCCACACACAGACAGTGGAGGGCCTCGGGCCATCCAACTTCAAACATGGCTGCCTTCCCTCTGAGCAGAAGGGGCATAGTTCTGCCCAGGGGGGCAGGTCCTGGTCATTGTAGGTGATGAAAAGGGGCACAGTTCAGTGAAGTGAGGCCCACAGTCAAGGTAAACGCGTTTCAGCTGTGGGTTTCAACAGTCTGTCCTCAGCAGAGCACGCAGAACTTGGGTGCGTATATCCTTCAACTGCCCTCAGGCCCATGACTGCCCCGCTGGTAAGAGGGCAGGGTTACTGCCCCACTGTATGGACAGGAGGCACCCTGAGGGCTAAAGGACGGTGGAAGCCGGCGCCTGCTAGCTGGCCTCCCCTCCTCCCGCTTGATCCCTCCTGGGGCCCTGGCACAGCACGCCCTCGGGCCATGAACCAGGCAGAATCATCTGCCCTCTGTTTAAATGAGGCCCCAGAATGATGACATTGTCACAGGTACTATGTGAAGATTTAAAAATATAAACATTGGATGGATTTTTTTCAAGTCTGACCGATTCTCAAATTTTAACTAATGGAAATTCTAGAGATTCACCTAAAGATCAGTCTCCACATCTCACCGAAAAACCCAGGTTGGGGTTAAAGGGCATTGCTTCCCAGGAGGTCCCTCAGGGAGGCAGGCAGTGTTTGGGGTGAAGCAGGAAGAGGCTTCCTAAAGGGTCTCCCTGCCCGGCCTCGGCCTCACAGGTAAGTCCACCCTGTCTGCACACACATAGGCTGTTCCCAGCTCCGCTCCATTCCTGTGCTCTGGCCTCACCTCTGCCCCGGCTTCTTCCCCACTCCCACCCTGCACTAGCCCATCCTCCAACCATCGCCTGCTGTGCACTTTCCTCTGGCCCGCACCACCCCCACCTGCCCACCCCACACAGTGCCCCTGGCCCACACTGAGCCCCCCACCCTCCACCCCCTCTGCCCCCCGCCCCACACCAGCCCTGCCCCGGGACGGTGCCTGGAAGGCCCCTCTCCCGCTTCAAGACCTTCCGCACAGCAGCTCAGGCTGCCTTCCAGGCACTGCTCAACTCTGGGCTCAGCACCTGGACACTCTCCCACCTCAGCGTGACCACAGTCCTGACTGTCTTTGCACCTGTCTCCCCACTGGACTGTGAGTCCTCAGGAGAGGGGCTGGCCCTTTCCTCTGTGTGTCACTGACACCTGCCCGTGTCTCTGGGAGGGCAAAGGAGGGCAGAGCTGGCTTGCCTGTGCCTAGTGTATGCAAGTACCTGTTCTGCATTGGCTGTGATGGGGCCGGTCACACTCAGAGCCGGGGCCTGCGGCGCGGGAGAAGGGAGGAGGAGGAGGCGAGGAAAAGGAGCCGGCACTTGTCCTCTGCTGCGCCTGGGACCTGGGCACGGTGGCGGCTGGATCCACTTCAGGGACACTCTGCCATGGCAACAACAGAGTCCTCTGCTCACTCGACTGCCTGCGCAGCAGGACCTGGCGCCTGCCCCACCCAGGGCAGCACTAGCTGCAGCACCTGTGAAGAGGGGCCCTCTGCTCCCAGTCTTTCCCTCTACGCCCTCCCAATGGCCTCTCCCTCTGCTTCCCTCACAGCCAAGCCCAGACCCCTCAAAAGGCGGCAGGGAGAACCCTAGCGCTCCGTACCCCATTACTAGGGCCACCTAGGGATCCTTAGTTGGTACCAGAAGATTATGTTTTGGCTTTTACAAGTAGACTAATATAAATAGTAATTATGTAATTTACTGAACATTTTTTGTAATTACAGGAACAACATAGTTCTGTATCATCTATCTATATAAAAGGCTAATAAGCTAAGTGTCCTTCCCTCCGTCCAGGTAGTGATGTCACATAGCAAAGCCCGGCTTCCTCTCCCTAGCAACGACTAGCCTCCTTGCAGTTTCTTCAGCCCAGGAAACTTTAGCCAGGTGGAAACACTTTACACTTTAACCATATGTCTGTGAAGTGTTTTCATGTGCCTCATCTCATTTGATCTTCACAGAAGTCCTGGAGTAGGTAGATAGGAGACTCGATGGAATCCTATTTTCTTTTCATGAGCCAGAAAATGGAGATTTAGAAAGCTCAGAAACTTGACCCGACTGAAAAGAAGAAATGGTGGGCCTTGAAAATGACTTCAGGTTTTCTCACTGCACAGAATATAGTCAAACACTGCTGCAGCTAAATATTTTACCCTTTGTTCTCCCTGCGTGATCTACAATAATAATCTGCTTCGTGTTAATATTTACTGCTGTGTTGCTGACAATTACCTGAAAGAGAAGTTGGGGTGCTTCACTGGGCTGGAAAAAGTTTAGCTACATCAGAAAGCAGGTCTAATTAAGCAAGTTTGTTCTATATCTATAAAAGGCTAAGTTGACTCACACATGCGCGATACATATAACGCTCTCGCTGACGCCAATCGCACATGTGTGTTTCAACCTGTCATTGTCGATCGTGAATTTGGTTGACACTTCTATTATAGAGAAAGAGCGAATAGCGATATTAAAATATTTCTTCTAATTAATTTCCTTTCAATGTGCATGAATTTGTGCACCGGGCCACTAGTTATTAGAAGAATAAAACAGGTTATGTTTATTCCACAAGTCACAGTGTTCTGGAGGGTCATTCTGAAAACACTGCTCTGGAAAATATAATTCCTTGTGCTTCCCTTTGGGCATCTCTGATAACCTCTTGAGCATGAACGGTGCTCACACGACAAGACCTGCACAGGCTGCTGCCCTCTTCGCCCCATTTCAGAGATGGGCTGATAGGGGCCAGCAAGGCAGTGTCCTGAGCCCTGGCTCCCCTGGATCCCAGCCCACAGGGTGCACACTAGCTCCCGGGAAGGGTGGCCAGCTTCTCCTGCAGGCTTTTAATTCTGCAGCACAGGGCTGCCTTGAAGGATTCCGCAGCAGGCCTCTACATGGCCTTCCATGGGCTTTGAATCCCAAGGTGTCTGGGCTGATGCCGAACGCTCCCAGCTCTCCGTAAATTTTAGAGCCATTGATAATGGGTCCATTTAGAGCATCTGATTAGCTTGTACGGCTGGGAAACCCCAAGCTGCTCCCTGCCCAGCGCAGCGGCACACTCATCTCCGCACTGCCAACACCGAGGTGCTCCTGTTCTCCAGGGGAGGCCGCCCGCCCATTCCTGGGGCCTCTGAAGAGCAGGTGCTAATGACCCTCAGAGAATGGCTTCCCCCAGCAGCCATTTCCATGAGAACGTCTGAAATGATCCCTCTATTATGCTCTTCCACAGGCAGGATGAAAACTGGGGGAGACACTGCCGCCACTTAATCACTATCAGCCAGCTGTCTCACTCCTGCACTCCCCTTGTTATTAAAGAGAAATGCCCTCGAGCTTCAAGACAGTGTGATGACAAGCTGAATAATTCAAATGGAGCAGCACAGGGGCGGTTGCGTATTCTGCAATAGGCCTTTCTAGAACATGCCAGCTGGGAGCTTACCCGTTGCGGTGTGTGTATGGGAGACAGAGCGTCCAAATCTGCATTAGGAAACTCGACCCCTTTCCTCTTCAGCTCCTCATATATATGCACAACACCCGTGAGGTCAGGACTGCTTCGAAAGGCGTCGGCCCACGCCTGGAAGGAGAAAGGAGGCCTGTTAGGAAGCGTGTCTCCCGAGGGCTGTCACAGCGCCCGAACACCCACCGCACCCAGCTGCTCTCTCAGAGGCCAGTGCTCCCCTGGACCCCAATGCGGACTGCCCTGGCTAACTATCCTGTCCCTCTCCCCCTGCCAGCGCTACCACAAGGCGGGTGGCAAAATCTTGGTTTTTCAATGGTGCTGTTGAGCATGAACAAAAACGTAAAACTTAATTCAGCATCTGTATTTCCTTGGAGAAGAGACAGAGAAATAACACCCAAGCTTTGCAGTACATCCTAACATGCAGGCATTTCCCTAATTGCAAGGAAATCGATTTCTGGTGAGTTTAGTTGAAGGGTGAGCAGAGGGCGCCGCCAGGCTGCCATGGGGCCAGGGGCGCTGTGGGTCTGCAAGCTCGCTCACCGTTTCCTACACTGCTGTGTGGGGTTCTCGTCAGTGGAGGCAGGAACCACAGGCAAATTGACAGGAAGGAGACAGCGGCGTGTGGCTGGGAAAGGCCCCTCTAGGTCTCCTCCGCCGATGCGAGGACCCTACAGCTGAGCCGGCCTCGCCCGGGTGAGGTGTCTGGGGCTGAGCAGGGAGGGGAGCCCGTGCTGCCCGCAATGTCAACGCACACGTGCCCGCATGGAAACCCATAGGAAAGCGTGAGCACTAGTTTCCTTTACATGAAAACAGCACAGCGAGGAAAGAACACAGATGGAAACGGATTGCCACTTACCACTGATTCATGAAACTCTTTAAAAATTAAAAAAAATCTGTTCTTTGGAAGTTACAGAATACATTTTATTTTTTAAAATATATTTTTATTGATCTCAGAGTGGAAGGGAGAGGGAGAGAGAGAGAGAAACATTAATGATGAGAGAGAATCACTGATCAGCTGCCTCCTACTGGGGGTGGAGCCTGCAACCCGGGCATGTGCCCTTGACTGGAATCGAACATGGGACCCTTCAGTCTGCAGGCTGACGCTCTATCCACTGAGCCAAACCAGCTAGGGCCAGAATACATTTTTTAAAAGTATAGCCAAACAGCTCCCCCAAAATTGGGCCCAGCTCTTCAGAGTCACCCATCACCTTACAAACTTCCAGGGGAAGGCGGAGCCTTGGGGACCAGGGTCCTGTGCTAATTCTGTTGCTGTCTCCAGCATTTAACTGCCTCCACGCTCCAGCAATGCTCCAACCAATCCCGAGGCAGCCAGAGCAACGCTATCGCTTACCTGCAGACCCACTTGAAGTGAAAACGCCAGCTTCCAAAATGCCTTGTTAATTACAAGTGATGCATCTCACTTAATAGAAACATACTGTCAGTCTGGCTCCCTTGATCCGCTGATTTAATCTGCACACTCAGGGGTGTAACCCTGCATCAGGACAGCCCCTGTCGGGTTGGCTGACACTTTCCTCAGGATCCTGAGTTGGGCAGAGGTGCCTGCTGAGGCCTCCCTGGAATCCCAGCTGGGGAGCAGTCACAAGAGCTGCCCCCTGGGAAGTGACCCCGAGCCCCATCTTCCACCAGCTGCTTTGGCCTCAGCCACCTGATTCACACGCCAGCTGAGGCCCGTGACCTAGCTTCCCATGCACTAGCACTTGAGTTTGGGCCTAACCGCCAGCACCCACGCTGCTGTGGGAGTGGGAGAAGCAGCATGGCAGCTCTTCCTGGGGCTGCTGGAGGCCTGTTTCTATGAGAGGGCCAACAGCTCAGGGAGACCCTTTTCATTCGTGTCGCTCTCCATCCAGCTGACTATGAGACGAGAAGAATGAAGATGAAAAAACCATCACTCTTCTCTCCAGTCAGTAAAGAACTCTTGGGGCACCTGCCCAAACAGCGTGTCAATAGACCCCGTTCCATGGCCCCAGGCAGGGAGGGGAAATACACACCCATGTTGGCCCAGCAGCTTCTCCCCCTCCCAAGAGCCTGGCCTGGGCCTGGAGCCTGCGGGTGAGATTGTCCGTGGATGTGGCCCTGGGAGTCAGTCCTGTGCCAGCCCCAACCTGTGAATGGGAGAATGTGCAGCAGGTGTGCCTAGTGAGACACACAGGAGATTTGGAGGGTTTTGCTGATCCCTTCTGTCCATTCCCCAGGCCCCGCATACCCCAGGGTTGTAGGTAGCCCTGACTTCTCATGACAAACTTTCCTCTCTGCCTAGGCAAGCTGGAGTTGGCATTTGTTATTTGCAACCAAGCTGCCTTGGCTAATCCACCCCCTGCCCACCTGCTGTTATTTCAACCCCTGTGGGGCCCCTGAGCAGGTTAGGTGCATTCTCTACTGAGCAAGATTCTGGTGCCAACGGGAATGGGCAGGGGGCGGGGCACCTGTAAAGGAACAGCCATATGGGGAAACACAGAAGTGGGAGACATCCAGAGATGCTCTGTGCCTCTAGTATCTTGCTGGGTCAATGCCCAAACACCCGTGTTCCTGTCTTCTTCCCACCAGGCACACACTGAGTCCCTCCCCTGCTCGGGGAGAGCAGCCAGCACTGAATCCTGTCCTTCAGAGAACAGAGGAAGGTGGCCACTTAGGCTGGCAACAGACTGTGGTGACAGCGATAAAGCAGAGCCCCTCTGACCCAGGGCTGGGAGAACCTGTTCCAGGGGAGGTGGAAAACCGCCAGGGACAGAGGCGGTGGAAACCACCGGGGAGCAGTGACCGGCAGTGCTGGCCCCCTGAGGGGCCCTGGCTGGTTAGTGACTCAGTGGTCCCCTCCCTGCTCTTCACGTAGTTCTTTATCCCGCCTGTGCGCCTACAGTGTCAGGGGTTGAAAGACCCAGAGGAAGGTCTATTGAGGGGGGAAAAAGAAAGTTATGCTTTTATTTCCTTTGTTCCTTTGGATTGTACACCAAAGTCCAGACTAAAACCTTATAAAACATGAACCATATCCTATTCATTTCTGTATTCCTCAAGTTTTGACAGTTTTAAATCATCAAATTTCAGATAAATAAACAATTACTGATTTAAACTAAGGGTTCTGTTCTTTGGACAAACGAAAGCTTCTGTCATCTTCTGCTTCTGCCCCTGGACCAAACCGTCCACACAGATTCGGCCATCAGTTCTCTGACACCTTCTAAGAACACAACAGCCTCCTGCCCCCAGCCCAGCCTCATCAGCTCACTTTCGTCAGTGGAAAGAGAGTACAGTCAAACCTCAGTTCTCGACCAAGTTATTCACGGAAAAATTATCTTGGTTGTTGAACAAAACTTCGATTTTTGACCCAATAACCTGTATGGTCAGTCACATGTTTCTCAGGCAACAAACAAAGGAGAGAATGCATGAATATGAGTCAGTTGACTGCTTCACCTTGTGTTGTTAACATCTCAGGAAATTGTGCTGTGAATATCTCCGTGTTTTTTGTTTTGTGGCTGCTTATTATTAAACACCTATAGTAAATCATCCTGGGAGCTAAGAACGTGAGTGACAGCAGCAACGTGAAAAGGAAAGCTGTGAGGCCCGGCTGGCATCAACGTAGGAGCCAAGAGGTCATTGGTTTGATTCTGAGTCAGGGCACATGGTTATGGGCTCGATCCTCCACATGCAGGAGGCAGCCGATCGATGTGTCTCTCTCACTGATGTTTCTCTCTCTCTATCCCTCTCCCTTCCTCTCTCTAAAAGTAATTTTAAAAAATATGTTTTTAAAAAGTTGTAAGAACAATGATAGAGCTTAAAAAAGAAATAATTGTGAGGTATGATAGAGGTGTTCGTGTGTCTGACCTGGTTACCGAGTAGGGCAGGGCAAAATAGTTAGCACAACTTTAAAACATAAAGAGGCCATCAAGAGTGCTGATTGATGTTGCTGAGGGTGGGAAAGTGCTCATGAAACAACGACTGTAGGCAACTACAGAGTTAGAAAAATGGTTGTTGATTTGGATAAACGAAAAGCAGTTAGCCAGTGATAACATTTCAAAGGCAAGTCTGTGAAAAAGTGAAGACGCTGCACACTGGACCCAGAGCTGAGGTTGTCTGTAAGGCTGCAGGGCCCCTGGTGAAGTTAGGAGAGAAGCACATTCACGGCGGAGGGAGCGTGGGGAGGCTGCCAGCTCTAGCAAAGCAGCTGCTCATGACTTCGTGACAGAACTTGTGGAGGCCGAGGGATCTGTTCCCATCAGTGTCCCATTGTGACGGGACAGGGCTCTCCTGGGAGAACATGCCCGAGAGGACCCACCACGCCGGAGAGGCACCGCCGGGACACAGCCAGTGAAGGGCGGCTGACGGGACTGTTGTGTGGGAATGCGAGTGGGGACCTCAAATTGAAGCCTCTATTCGCCCACCATTCCGAAAACCTGCGAGTTTTCAAGAAAAATAATGCCGTGAAAAACAAGTGGAATGCGGAGGGCCAGCAGCAAAGCATGGGTGAGCAGGAAGTTTTTTATTGAGTGGATTCATGAAGTGTTGGCTCCAAGTGTGAAGAAATACCTCCAGGAAACACAACTGCCACTCAGGGCACTTCTTGTCATGGACGAGGCTTCTGCCCACCTCCAGGCTTGGCGCGGAGCTGCTGGAGGAGCACAGCCTCACCCCTGCCGGGTCCTAACCACCCACAGCCTCACCCCTGCAGGGTCCTCTCCACTCACAGCCTCACCCCTGCAGGGTCCTCTCCACCCACAGCCTCAATCTAGACGGGTCTCCTCAGACATAGCCTCACCCAGGGGTGGGTAAACATTTTTGACTCGAGAGCCACATGGTTCTTAACTGGACCGGAGTGCTGGAACAAAAGCATGGATGGAGTGTTTGTGTGAACTAATATAAATTCAAAGTAAACATCATTACATAAAAGGGTACGGTCTTTTTTTTTTTTAGTTTTATTCATTTCAACCGGGCCGAATCCCCCCGCGGGCTGTAGTTTCCCACGGCTGCCTCA